TTTTTTAAAAGCAGAGTGAACGATCAGGCAAGATCCTGGAACCTCCTTTTTTTTTTTTTTTAAATAGCCTGAATCTCCAACAGCCACATGGAAGTTCAGGCTCCAGCTTCCACCGAGAAATCTTTTTCTCCTCCAGATCTGAAGACAAAAGGAGAGGAGGCCGGGTGGTGAGCGGGATATCTCTGTTAGTTGTCAGCGCAGGTCCATGGGCTGGGAATGCTAATGAGCCTCTTGGCCAGCTGAAGACGTGGTTCTCTCTGGCAGACCCTGCCGCTCACACACACACTCGGGCTCCCGCCTGCCGACTGACAAGCACACAGACAGAGCCTCGTGCTCGACCCTGTCTCTCTCCGTTTTCCTCTGAGCCCAGAGATCGATCGCTGACCCCACCATTGGGCCAACGCTTTATTTATCTGGCTGCGCAATGATATTATCAGCCTTAAACGTTATATACAGCAAATGTCTTCGTAAATCAACACAATAGGATAGCCTGCAGAGACCAGCCTGGTCTGCCTTAAAGAAATCCCTCGCTATCTCTCTCTCCTTCTCCCTCTCCCCTCCCTTGCAGACACCCCTTCTCCTTTCCATCTTTACAACCGGGGACATTTAAGATGCTGGACTTGGGGATTTGATCCCTTGCTTCCAGCCTGGTTGGAGAAGGCCTTAGCAGACTAGGAGACGGATAGACACCATTATCCACCCATCACTGTGATCTCCATCAGAGATTCCCTTATCAGCCGGATCCAACTGCCTAGACCTACTCTATGGACAAGATCCGGATTTCTCAAAATTGGGGCAGGAGAGAAGGCGAGGGGTGGAGTGTGCCACCTTGCACCGTGTTAATTGTTTTCTTTCCTCTCAATTACATTCACAAACCTCTTTCTGCGTTGCATGTTATTTCTTTGTGCTTTAAAATTGAAACCACGTGCAGCCTTCTCCCCTCCGCACACACAATAAATGCGCTGCCCCCTCCCCCAACCCATCACACAACTATTTACATCTTGGTTACTCACTCCAGCTCCGGCCCGAAGAGGAAATTGGCCCCTTGGGACTAGGTGAGGCTTTGTGAAAGCCTATCTCAAAGCCGTGTCCTGGGCCCCCAACTCCGGGAGAGGTTCCTAGGCCCCCCTCCCGTGCCTCCCTTCCATTCTCGCCTTGCACAGGTGGTTGAGGCTTCCTTTGGGGAGAGCTAGCAGGGGGACATCCAGGGAGACAGGCAGCTGTGTCTGGCCAGGCCCATCGGCTGCCCGCACACGGGCGGGGCCAGCGGTGGCGAGGGAGCCTCTGCCGCACCCTGTCCCAGCTCCGGGAGCAGCGCAAGCCACGCAGGCAGCAGTCGCGCCCGGGGAGCCCTCCTCGCCCAGGTCCTCCCAGGCAAAGAAGTCCCACCACAAATAAATAAATCAGTAAATAAACAGATAGACAAATAAATAAATAATCTCCAAAGGGGGAGGGGGAGCTGGGAAATGGCTTCGCTGACAGGGAGAGATAATAAATGAGAGGCGCTTTCAGATAGATATCTCAGACGTGAAATTGCGCCCAGCTGGTTGTGTAAGCAAACAAATAGTTTCATGTTAGGAACTCTCAACTTGTGGCTTGATGAATAGAACACGACAGAGGTAAATGGGTCTTTAACTCATTTAGGAATACAACTCTTTGGCTTTCCAAGTTAAAGGCGCAGTGACGCGGCGGACGCCGAGCAGGCCCTCTAACAAGAGTTTTATTAGTTGCCACTTGTGACTCCTGCACACCCACCCCACGCTCCTCCGTGCTTCCCCCTCTGCAGATGCGCATCCAGGCGATTTGTCCTGAGGGACCAAGGAGCTTCTGGAGGTGACGCTACACTGTGGGAGATGTAAGGACTGCCTGGGAGAGGGAGAGGGAGAGGGAGGAGGAGGAGGAGGAGGAGGAGGAGGAGAAGGAGGAGAAAGGAGGAGGAGAAGGAGGAGGAGAAGGAGGAGGA